TTTGCATAGACCAGGTGTGAACCTGGACTCTGTCACTCCTACTCTGTGTCTCAGGAAAAGGAAACCCGACCAGTCTCATAACAAGATGGTGCTAAAAGCAATGCCGCAATCCCTATGGTTATGTTAGAGGAAACAATGCAGTTGGACTTGGAAAGGGCTTAGCCCAGGTCTGGAGGCATGGTAAGTTTACAAGAAATGGCATGTGTAAATTTAAGACAAGTGAGGAGGATCCTCACTCCCCATCATCCACCTGGATTTGCTGGCTTTCTCACACCCTTTCTAGGAGGTTGGGAGAGTCAGAATTAGAGCATCAGCTGAGAGACCCAGGAGGGGCCACAGCTGGGACCCCAGAGGGAGAAGTCAGGTTTAGAGAGAAAGATGGGAGGATTGGAATGTCCCCAGGGGTTCGAGGGTGAGAGCTGAGTGCCTCGGGAAAAACTCTAGGAGGAGGCTTAGGAGTAGAAGCTCTGAGGGTCCTCCCATACCTGGGCCTTGCGCTGGACTGGTGTCCATGTCCTAATCCTTTCACAGTTCCTGGGTCTGAGGCCTTCTTTTTCTGACATTTGTGCTTGATGTGATGTTGTGATCCTTGCCAATATTTCCTAGGACCCAGGAACCTCACATGTCATCAGAGCCACTGGGATGCTGCTGACACACACACACACACACACACACACACACACACACATACACACCCATGCCTGCTCACATGCACATACAGCCAGTGGATCACACATGAACAAGCCAGCAATCCATTCATAACTTTGGTCCTGTCTAGCAGGATAGGAGGCAGCAAAGACTGAGTTACTGGGAGACATAAAGACTAGTGCTCTCTGGATAGCCATATTACAATGCATTATCTTTGAAGTCATTTAAGTCCAATTTAAGTGGTATTTAGTATAATATTTATGAATTAATGTAATCTAAACATAAGGCTGTCCCCAAAGGTTTAAACAGCCTTTACTACTGATGTGTGCTTGTTCCCAGAGCCTGTGATGCATTTTAATCTAAACAGCCAAGTCCACATTGTAGTCTCTCTTGTTATCCAGTCAGAACAGATCTGTGCCCGGGTAACCACTCTGCTTTGAGATTTCTTTCCCCACTGCATGAAAACGTACTCTGCTGGCAGCCTGGGGGGCTCTCAACCGAACAGCCATCGCTGCAGGGGTTTTGACCCTCATACTTTTCCACCTCATCTAGAAGGAGGGTGGGGAGAGT